TCGGTTCATTTTCTCGTTTACGGTTTTTCAAGTATAAATACTGAAACCATATAAAAACCATATGTAATTCGGTTTGGTTACGGTTCGGTTTTCACAAATTATCGGACTTATAAAAAATGAATATCTCGGCTCGGTTCGTTTTCGGTTGATTCCATATTTTTTAGGTTATTCCATGTTTTAAAAAATAAAATTGATGCATAAATAAAAGATATCGTAGAATAAGAATAATTTATCAATCAATAAGTTTTACATAACTCAAAGAATATACTGGAAGCCCCCTTGGCCCATTGGTTGACCAAAGGTTGATTAATGCTTCAACACTAAGAGGTCTGGGGTTCGAGTCTCAGATATTGCGATTTATTATCAAATTTGCACATTAATGGAGGTAAGTGTGCATGAGATCTCCAGCGATGTACAATTATAGCCGTGCGCCAGGATTCTACGCAGAGAAGGAAGTGTCGCCAGGTCGTGGATCATTGAAGGTATTCATCAAGATCATGAAGAAGGAAGTGTAGTCTGTCGTGGATCTACTAAGGGTCGGCAGAAATTGTCAGTTGTAGAATCGTCTATGTAACAGTTCTCATAATTTGCAATTAATAATAAATCTAGACGACAAAAAAAAAAAAAAAAAAACTCAAAGAATATAATCCAAATCTAGTTTCCTAAACCCAAATAATATAAACTCAAATAATTCAAATATAGAATTCAAATAATTATAAGCGGGAAAAAAAATTCTTAAGGACATTATTAAATATATTAAAAACTGAACAAATATAATTATCTCAAATTTTCATCAAAAACCAAAAAAAAAACATTCGGATTTACGGTTTTTAATCAAACCAAACTAAACCAGAAATTTAATAAAAATGACAGTCAAATGAGTTTTTAAGATAAACTATACAAACCAAATAATTTATTTAGGTTCGGTTCGGTTTTTCGGATTATGGTTTTTTCCCACCCAAATCATATCATCTTGAATAAAGTATCTCTAATTTCTCGGGTTTGAAAGCAAATTGCTTAAATATTTTCAACATGATTTGCCAACATATTTGAGACGAATATTTATTGTCATTGTAAATTTTATTAAAAAATTGGTAAATCTACATACGCCTAAGAAAAAGGTCAATATGCTTGAAAACTAAGCCGACGAAAATGTTGAAATCTCCGAAGATAACAGGCCTAAAAAGAGAGATAATTTGGGAAAAAACTAGTAAAATATAAATCAAAACTGCTAAACCCAAGTTTTTACCAATTAAATTTTAATCATATTCATTTGTTTTTTTTCGAGATCATAAATTGTCTTGATGTCAATAAAAATCACAAACCTCACCAAAAATCTATGGTATTCATGTCCTCACTTGGTGTTTGGTGGAATTTTTAAATTGAAATATATGCTTACTTATTCCAGTGTCGGCTAAATCTTGATGATTAGATAATTCAAAACAACAAACACATACATACGGCGTGCCTCGACATCTGCATAATACTCTGGGCGACGGTATGTGGGCTCCCCATATTTCTTTGACAAAAAAAAACAAACACATACGTGAACAATGTGGCAGGACAGACGAAACAATCAATCACTGTCTTTTTACATGTCCTTCTGCTATTTTAACTTGGAAACTATCAAATATTCCGATATCACCTTCGCATCTCTCGTTAACAGATGTTGAAGAAAATCTTTCAAATTTGTTCAGTCTCCAACAAGTCACTGGAATTTCAAAGGAGAATAAATTATTACCCTTTTGGCTTCTTTGGCAAATATGGCGTGCAAGAAATAATCTTGTCTTCAATAAAATCAGAAGCAGTCCATCTACTGTTACTTTGAGAGCAAAAGCAGATGTAAAGGAATGGATAGAAACAAATGAAAATAGAATTTCTTTTAACAATAACTCGAACTCAATGACGGCAACTGTTTCATCTTGGACAAAACCTCCATTTGAGTACGTTAAATGCAATTTTGATGCAAAATTTGATGTTAATATTAATCAAACAAATGGAGGCTGGATAATTCGAAACCATGATGGAACAACAAAAGTGTGGGGTTCACCACGCTTGAATGTCACAGGATCACCATTGGAAGCAGAAGCACAAGCGTTACTCTCTTCGATGCAACAAACATGGATTTGTGGATTCACAAAGGTATAATTTGAAGGGGATTGCAAGATTTTGATTGATAGCATCAATGATGGTTTATCGAACGCATCTATCAATGGAATATGTGAAGATATCAAGTTTTGGGCTTCTAAGTTTAAGGATCTTTCTTTTGTTTATGTTAACCGATCGATCTTGTAACCAAGTAGCTCATAGTCTTGCTCAGTTTGGATGTACTCATTCTAGTTTTTATTCTGCAATTTCAGATCCTCCCCCTTGGATTGGATTGTGAACATTTTGTATGATGATCTTTCAAATTAATATAAGTTCTTTTGATGAAAAAAAAAGAGAAGAGAAAATGTATTTTGAAATTTAGAAATGTACTTAAATTAAAGAGTTTTTCTTTGGTTAAATTAAATTTTAAGAGAATATTAGAAATTAATATTATATTTTGTTGAAATATATTTAAATTTAAAAGGAAAAGTAAAATTTTCCAAAAAACCTTTAAAAATTAAATTATTTATTGGATATAATATAAGTGGTCCTAAATTCATTGATAATAAATTTTATAATATTATTAAACAGAAATTGACACACATCCATTACAATATTTATGAGAAATATCATATTTAGACACTTCACTAGAAATTTATTTACAATAAATAACATTTTTATAAGAAAATAATAAATTTAAATCACTTATTCAATCTAAAATCACTTATTTTATCATAAGAAAATATATGGTAGAAAGTTTTATTTTCCAAACCTATAATAATATGTTTTTATTATGTACCAAATCTATAATAAGATGTTTTTACATTTTTGTTCTCTTAACAGATTATTATAGAGAAAATAAATGACATATTTTATCCTAATTAACTCGACGACGCACCAAACCCTAGTTCTATCTAGGTTAGAATTTAAACTAGGTTTCTTTTTTTTGGTGTGTGCAAAAACTAGGTTTCTTATATCTTGTATATATATACACATGTATGTGAGTCGCAGAGGGCAGAGCCCTCTCTCTCAAAGACGAAAACTTAAAAGATGGATTCAAAAAGGAAGAACCCAAATCTTAGCACATCAGAAGTCGCAGAGCCCTCTCTCTCAAAGACGAAGAAAAAGCAAAAGATGGATGTGAAAGGAGCGATGAACAAGCAAAACGACGTTGCTCTGTTCCTTGCGGGGAAAGTAATCTCTGCCATAGCCAAAAACTCTAACTTCGTCTTCTCTCCGGCATCTATCAACTCTGTTCTCACCATGACCGCTGCTACCACCGACAGCGAAACACTAAGATCCTTCATCCTCTCCTTTCTTAGGTCTTCTTCCACTGGCGAACTCAACGCAGTTTTCAGTGAAATCGCTTCCGTCGTCCTCGTTGACGGAAGCAAAAGAGGTGGGCCAAAAATCGTGGCGGTTAATGGAGTGTGGATAGAGCAATCACTTTCGTGTAGTCCCGAGTCGAAAGATCTCTTTGAGAATTTTTTCAAGGCTACTTACGCTCAAGTTGATTTCCTACACAAGGTTGGTTTCTGATTTCTCTAGTTTTCTCCAGAAATATATCTTATTGATTTCGAATTTGCTATGATTAGATTAGGTCAAGAGCTTTGTGAAACTGTATAGTAGTTTCCTTAGAGAAACGTTTCGGTTGTGGTTTTGTGATTATGGTTTTTGTTGTTTTGAAGGCCGAAGAAGTGCGTGGGGAGGTGAATTCTTGGGCTTCACGTCACACCAATGGTCTCATCAAAGAACTTCTTCCTTCTGGATCCGTTACAGATGAAACCATTCAGATTTACGGAAACGCATTGTACTTCAAGGGAGCCTGGGAAAAGAAATTCGATAAGTCTATGACAAAACACAAACCTTTTCACCTTCTCAGTGGAACCACAGTGTCTGTGCCATTCATGAGAAGCTATAAGGATCAATACATTAAGGCTTATGATGGTTTCAAGGTCCTTAGCCTTCCTTATCGACAAGGCGATGATGATACCAACCGAAACTTCTCAATGTATTTCTATCTCCCGGACAAGAAAGGTGAATTGGATAATCTTTTGGAGAGAATAACTTCTATTCCTGGATTCTTGGATAATCACATTCCAAGAGAAAGAGTTAAAGTTGGTGAATTCAGAATCCCAAAGTTTAAGATCGAATTCGGGTTTGAAATTCTAAAAGTTTTCAATGACTTTGAGCCTAATGTAGCATTCTACCATAAAGCTTTGATTGAGATCGATGAAGAAGGTACTGAAGCTGCAGCCGCTACTGCTCTACGTGCCCTCGGTAGCAAGTATATCCCGAAGATGATAGATTTTGTGGCAGATCATCCATTTCTTTTCTTGATTAGAGAAGATGTAACCGGAACTATTTTGTTCGCTGGTCAAATCTTTGATCCTTCTAAATTTTCTTCTGCTTAGGACCGGCCTTAACCGGATCAGAGTTTGATATTTTAATAAGATTTAAACTAGGTTATAATTTTGCTGAATTATGTTTGATCAATTAGAACCTTGAATCTCATTCTGAAGATCCTTTGAGTCTATTCCATCTAGCATCCTTTGGGTCTGTGTGTCAAAGAATATGATAAAATTAAATACAGAACACTAGCATGTAAAAACTCAAAACAAAGACTTGTCTAAAAAGTCAGCAACTCTGTTCAGTCATATTTTATTGCTTCTAAAGAAAAAGTCTTTCTCTATTGCTGTTAGTTCTCTTTTCTTCTATATATGCAAATCTCATTTCTGGCTTCCATACATATACACAACTCTGAAGTCAACAATCTTTTGTCCAAAGAAATTCATCATCATGGAAACTCTAAGAGAGCAGGGTCCTTCAAGCTACTTGGTTAAGCTGGTGGGTTTCTCTGAGGTTAGATTAAGTCATGAGTCATCAACCTCATATATGAATCTGCTGACATAAATGGTATAGTCAACCCAATCTAAGATCTCCTATGTATGATTTGTTTATGGGTGATTTATCAATGAAACAATGATAAATCGAATCAGGAGATTGATATTTTACCCGGCTGGAAAGGTAGAAGAAGGTGGAAAAGACCATGTTTCGATTTATGCGAGGATCGACAATGTTGGTGCTTCTGAGATGCAGATTGATGTAGAACTCAAGTTCTTCATCTACAATCACAACATCAAGAAATACTCTGTTTTCCAAGGTATGAACATATTTATAAACACACTTTTTATTAAGATATATCGATTTATAAAGCTACATTGTGATCGATTTTGCCGGGTTTTTTTTTTGTCAAATCTGTCAAATGAAAGAAGATATTACTTGGACAGAGTTATTTTTATGGTGTGTGTATATATGTGTAGATGGAACTATGAAGCATTATAGTAAGGAGAAAAAAGAGTGGGGATTAGCACAAATGCTTCTTCTTTCGAAGTTTAACGACCCAAAAAATGGGTACATCGATGGAAATGCTTGTATCGTTGGGGTGGAGATATTCGTTATAAAGCCGAGAGAGAAGGTGGAGAGGGTTGCATTCACACAAAACCCACCAGAAAACAAATTCACCTGGAAAATCTCTCATTTCTCAGAAATAGGAGACAAGAGATATTATTACTCGGATGAATTTGTGGTCGGAGATAGAAAATGGTGAGTTTTTATTCATTAGTATAATGCTTAATCGCTAATTTTCGATATTGATTACTTGAAAATATTTATTCTGTGCTATTATGATATTTTCAAGGAGAATGAAGATTAGTCCAAAGGGAGACAAAAAGGTAAGAGCACTTTCAGTCTATGTTCAAGCCATGGCATATCTGCCAAATGCGGTAGCTTCTAGCACTTACGCAAAGCTCAAACTTCGGCTAATAAATCAGAAAAACTCTAACCACATTGAGAAACGCGGTACATATCAAACTATTTCTTTTTCTAACGCGTAGAAAAATCGATATGACATCCTTAAAGACTGACTTTGTGTGATGTTTGTGTATAGTTTTTCATTTTTATTCGAGAGAAACTCAAGACGGATCAGGGATATCGGAGTTAATATCTGTGGAGGATCTAAATGATGAATCAAAAGGGTACCTTGTGGAAGACTCCATCATTCTTGAAACTACTCTGCTTTGTGTCTCTGAGACGATGTTTGTCGACTCTATCTAATGACTCTTATTACCTCTCTCTTTCTTTGCATACATCTTTCTTTTGTAAGCAACAAAAAGTCTCCTTCGCTATTTTCTTTTCTTTTCTGTTTTATTGTTTTTTTTTAAAATTTTAGTTTGTTAAATATATTGATGTTATTGTTGACTGATTATGTAAGAATCTTTGTACAATTTGGGAAGGTATTCTTAATCAAAGCTCTATAATTCGGTCATTTAATCAGCACTGGAGCAGTTGTTTTTGATGTCTTGTACATTACACAACACAATGAGACTTTAGTTTGATCAACAACTTGTTTTTGTTATCAAACAATCTACTGTTCTTATTCCTACGAAAAAGACTAAATATGTAGTGACCATATGAAATCAGCCACTAATTAGCTTCGGTTCGTTCTAAGGAAATTCAGGTTTATTTTTCCCCTTGTCAAAGAGATATTCCAGTGAAGAAGGTGCAGTTGCAAAGTACAAAGATTGCGAGGCCTAGCAGCCGAACCCTACTTTGAATAAGGCCTCGAGGACGAGTGAGCCTCGGAGTCTCCTGATTCTTCAAGAGATAAGTGTTACACCTGTCTTAAGACCTAAGTCTCGGACTCGGGGTTAAGCATTCAATAACCCAAAAGTTCGCTGATAAAACAAGGTATTCAACTAAATGCAATGCATAAGAGAAGATTAAAAAGGTGGAAGGCTATGTTCGACTAATTACAAGAAAACTTAGCAATTTTGTTAAAACTTTTAACAATCTCCAATTAAATAATGTCATAAACTTCCGACATTAGACCTTTAGGGGGGTGTATTGGAACAATGATTTTGGAAAATTTTGGTTTTTTTGTTAAAATCACCTGTTATTCAATCAGTGATTTAAAATTTTCTTCTCAAATTCCATGTTATTGAAACCGGAATTTATGTAAAATCATTCCAAATCATTTCAAATCTCATGTTATTCAATCATGAATTTCTAAAACCCATATCAAATCCACTGTTATTCAAACTTAACAAAACTTTTTAAAACAAATATTGAAAACTGATTTGGTGAGACTTTGGATACCTTTTTAGTGTAAAAATAAGAATTAAACAATCACACCTCTAGGGGTGGTATTTGATTTTAAAAAAAAGACGTAAAAAAAAAAACATGTGGCTAACGAAACTAAACTAGTGAAACAATCTCCTCTCTTCATCCTCGTCTTTATCTCCCTCGATCTCGATCCCTTGAACAAAAATAACATAAGAGAGTCTCTTCTTTGGTAGTGGTGGTGACTCACTTCTCGTCCTCACAAGTCTCGAGCAGCTTCAATCTAATTCTCAAGGAGCACAAACGGAGATTTAAATTGATGAATAAAACTATTCGACGATTAGAAGTCAAATTGTTGCGAGGTCGGTTTTGATCTTCAGTTCTGATGTTTGTTTCTTCGCTAATAACATAATAGAACTTTATTTGCGAAATTGATAAATTTCAGATAGAATTTTGAGTTAGTTTATGTGTCGTCAAGCATGGAGGTGAATCTCGTTTTGCTTCTGTGTATAGCTTTGATTTGTCGCTGATAACACTAGATTTTTGAAACTAGGTTGATGGAGTGACATAAGTTTTTGTTTTGAGCTTGATCACGAATTCCACCACCGTCAAACGTGTTTTCGAAATTCAAACGGCATGTTTAAGAAGTTACCACAAACCAGAGAAAATTATCAAGGCAAGTTTTCTTGTTGTTATAGCTTGGCTAGTTGCACATGTTACTTGTTGATGGTGATTCCAATTATTTTTAAGCCTTTGAATGGTTCATTGATATTGATTATACCGTCGGCAATTTTTTAGGAAATCCCAAATTTTCTATTTTTTGTGCTAAAAATCTCACCAAATCACCTATATATTATCTCTTTAAAAGCTCACCAAATCACAAATTATCTTTCTTTTTTTAAAATGAAAAATAACAATTCCACCAAAAGTATCCTATAAACTCATTTAAATCTCTGCAAATCCAAAATTTTCTAAATTCCACCAAATTCTCCTAAATCTTTAATCGAATACACCCCCTTAGTCTCGCGTCCAAACTTTACCACCAAACCTGCCAATGTACTAATCATTTCCGTTACAACCCCTCTACAACACTCTAATCTGCCTAAAATCGTTAAGCCATTTTTCACAACAAATCCATTGTCTCTTTCACCCTTAAAGTTTTGACGGAATATATTCTGCATATTTTTATGGACGAAATTGACAACAAAAGGTAGTGGAAAACATGATTACGAAACAAAAATTCTTAAAGAATATAATAGTAAAGTTGCAAAATCAAAAGAATAATCAAAAGGATAAACAGTTGAAAGAGAAGTGGAGGGTCAAAATTTGTTGAACAAAAGCCAAAACATTACGAATTATTTAAGAATCCCATTATTTAAAGAAAATATGTAATGACTCTTAAGGGAATCTTGGTTCTCAACCAGACGTTAAGTCTTAAGTCTTCATTTTTCAACTCTTTTGACTTGATTCTCACATTACGTGGAGTCAAAAGTATTTCTAGCAAAATAAATTATCATCCAAAATTTCGGATTATTGATGATACTTGCATCATTTAAAACGAAATAAATACTTTAAATAACAAAACATTCACAGAGGGGTTCTCTTAGAAAAACAATTTTTTTTTCTTTTCAACAATCATCAGTTCATCACGAAAATTAGTTATAAATTTATTTTATTGTAGAATTCTCGGAAAAAAAATGAAAGTCGTTTTTTTTATAATTTTATCTTTCATCTTCAAAAATTGCAAGTTTATTTCGCAGATTCAAAAATAATACGCAGTATAACCTCTATTCGTCATCACCGTTAAATTTGTAAAATTTTGATAAATAGTATATTAACTCTATGTTTTCGCGACGAAGAATTCGAATCCACCTTAAAATTTTTGAAATTTTAATATATGTGATCGCGATAATTTTTAAAAAATACCATTGAAAGTTATATTGCGTATTATTTTAATTTTTTATAATTAATTAATATTTTCTAGACATAGAGGTAAATTAGTAAAAAAAAAATGGTGATTTGGAAGTTTGTTTTGCTGAAATTTTTTATTGTATCATATAAAAATGCTCAATGTTATCTTGTTCAAAGAGTGGTACACTAACGTGTCGTGTTCTCATTTGTTTAGTAAGCAAGTGGAATCCAAGTTGAGTTATGCAATTTAACTGTGAGATAAAATAAGTAACGAAGCTTCTCTGTCTGAAAATCAGCAGCAAAATGTCCGTTTCTGTTGACTGACGCCTACCTTTCTCATTACCTACTTTTGTCTGTCTCACTCACTCACCGTCCATAATTTTTACATTATGTGTCGACATACCAAAGTATGTTATATAGAACCAAGAACTATGTGTGAAATCTAAACCAAAAAGAAACAAGCAAACTGATTAGGGTAGTTTAGCAAATAGTCTAAGACGATAAATAAATTTGAAATTACTTGTCTTTTTATATTTATAATACATATTTATGATAGATACAAAACGATTTGAAATCATAAATATGTATTATAAATACAAAACGACAAGTAATATATACAAAAATTTTAATGTTAATATACTCCTTCCATTTTTATATTATTTGTCGTTCTAGTTGGTTTATAAATTAAGAAAACAATTAAATTTAATGTTTACTCCTAATTAATACACTATTTTGTTTGATATAAGTAATTAACATTCTTAAAAAGTAAGGATAAAACTGAAATTTTTATCATAAATATGTATTATAAATACAAAACGACAAGTAATATATACAAAATTTTTAACTCTAAGACGATAAATAAAACCAAATGGAAGGAATAAAATTTATAGGTTATCTGTTTCTGAAACTCTTAGCTAAAACTTCTAAAAGTCATTAAAATGCTTACAAGTACTCTTTGAAAATGTCATTGTATAATCATGGTAATCTGATATATTATACAACTGGTACAATAATGTAAATGCCATTAATTATGTTGATTGGTATTTTTTTTGCGCTCAAAAATGCACCTTATACTTGTTGACGTTGTGCTTATCATCTTCTAGCCATGTTTCTAGTACTATTTTCATTTCTATAATTCTACTTTCGTCATTTGATAGGATCATAGGAGTGTTCTGATCAAAAGATTTGGTGTAATATTGTTGGTACAATTGCATCTTACCAGTCCCTCTATTAGAGGTGTTCTAGAAATGTAAAAATTAGATCAGGATATTTTAATTTATTATTGAAATATTTCTAAAAAATAGATCAGGATATTTAATATAATTGTTTGTGTTAATATTGTCGTTATATCACCATCCAAATCAAACCCGAATAATACATTGAAAATTTTATTTTATTAACTTACATAAATTTATCTGAAAAAATGCTTTAATTTTTTTTTTTGTCAACAGCTTTTAATTAAAATTTAAAAGAACCAGGGGAATGTTGTTTACATAAGTGATATGATGCGGTTCGTACGAACTTTTCGTGCCACATTATCCGCTTTTACATTTGCACTACGAGAAATTAAAGATAAAGAGAAGCTTGAAAATTCCTCCTTGTCGCTCTTGATTTCTTCCAAATATGCTGAAAAAGTCGGCCATTCGGTTGGGCAAGACACCATCTTCACAAGATCTGAACAGTCTGTATAAAAAGCTACATCTTGGTTGTCGGCTCCAATCATACACTTCATCGCCCAGAGAAGAGCTTCCACTTCGATATGTAAAGGTGAGAGACTTCTTCGGATATTGGCTACTCCCATAGTTGGCGCCTCTCCATGTGATGATGTGCAGAACTACCCTGTTCCTGAAAATTTATTAGTCCCTTTCCATGATCCATCCACGAAACAACGATATCCGGAATAGATAGTATCATGTGAAATATCTCTCTCTCGAACTCGTGTTTCGCAGTTTGAAGGACCACGATTTTCATTAATAAGCTCGAATTGGGCTAGTTGCCAAGATTGCGCCTCTTTTTCCGCTAAACATAAAACCTCCAGTGGGTCTTTATCCACATTTTCAAAGATCTTTTCGTTTCGAGCTTTCCAAATATACCAAATTATCCATGAAAATGAAGATGAATCCACCTCTGAAGGAATTCTCCAAAAGAGGTGATCCAAATTCGCATAAATTAAAGTCGTTGGGACATAAATTTTAGCAGATTTTGTTGTCAACCTACATGTTTTACAAACATGCTCTTGTTGAGAGTCAAAATTACTTTATAAAGCTTATTTAGTGTTTTAATACGTAACACAAGACGGTTTTCATACAACATGAAATTTGTATGCTGATGACAAAAAAAAAAAAAAAAAAAAAGAAATTTGTATGCTTTGCATCACCGGTAGGCCTGGCATTCGGGTACCTGTACCCGATCGGTTCTTTTTTCGGATTTTGGGTCTATTCGGGTAGAAGGGTTGAAACCCATTCGGGTATTCTAAAAATTTGGTTCGGATTCGGTTCGGGTATTTTAGTAAAAAAACAAAATATCCGAAAATAACCAAAAAATACCCGAGATATTTTTGGGTTCAGATTTTTTACTCATATATACCCAAATCTAACTGAAATACCCGATTACTCAAAAATACATTGGTTACTATTTACCCAAATATAACAAAATATATCTAAAAATACTAAAATTACCCAAAAGAAAACTACAACATTGGTTACTTTTTACCCAAACTAATATATCCAAATATATCCGAATTACTCAAAAATATCTAATATTTTCATATTTATTATTGTAATTTTAGGTATTCGGGGTATAATTAATATAAATATAACTAATATTTTTAAGGTGTATATTTGTATTCGGATACCCAC